TTTTAAACAATAACACTGGATGAAATTTAAACAGAGATATCAAACAAGATATCAAGCATCAAATGAACAGAAGAAACATTAACAACTGATGGCTTTTAGCTGATTCGTAGAGAAGGAAATTAAGAGAAAACCAATATTTCATAGTTATAGTTTATTTTGGAAAATGTAAACGTCACTAACCATGCATACAAGTTAAGACAATATTTTACAGTTCTTAAGTTTCTTCCTTTTTCCTTTGTTTTCTTTTCCTGTTGTTGCATAGGACATTATCACAATATATAATCTATGCAGTACAAAATACATAAAAAGTTACAGCAGAGCGAGAATAGATGAACATATAACTGTATGTAATACTTCAATGTAGTGACTTAGAGTTGCAAAGTGAGCCATGGAAGCATTCATGTACTGCTGGTGAAGCTGTACAAGTCAGGATGACAGCAGCAGCTTTGCAGTTCACCAGAGCTGGAAGAATCGATGTGAACACGTGCACACTCCTGGCACACGTTCTCTGTCACCCATCCAGGCATGTGCTTGTGGAAAAGCACATGTGCTCCCACACACATCCCCTAGAATGCACAACAGACACAAGCACTGCAGCTGTAACCAGAGATGAAACTCAACCACAAACCTCCAACAGGTTCAACCTTTCCAGATGCAATGGTATTTGGATCCAGAGATTTGGTTCAGACCCATCACTACCTATAATGAACTGGATCCCTGGTTTTGCTCTGTTGATATCCCTTCATTATTCAGTGTGTAATATAGACACACTGCTGTGTATTTATGTATACATACATACTATACAATATACACACATATATGCATTTATATATATGTGCATATGCTTATATAAATCCATATATATATAAATATATATATATATATAAACACCTATACCAGTGAATGGGCTTTTGCATTCTATATTCTGGTTTACGGGATAAACAAGTATAATTTGGTTATTTTCTTCTGCCTAAGGCTTTAGCTTTATCCCCAAAGGAGTTACAAATACACATGTTCATCAACCATTCACTGACATAGACTGTGTTAGCACCCAATGCACAAACACATGGTGTGATGGAGCAAAAGAGCACCTGCATGTTAGTTTCTAGGCATTACCTGATGAAATTAGTAAATCAAATGGCAATGAAAAAGCAAGATTTAAGCATGCAGAGTTGATTTTCCTTATTCTTCACAAACCATGTTCTCCAAAACAACAATGCACTTCACAAAGTACAAATTCTGTAGCTCATGACAAAGACCTGGAGAAAGGCAGTTGTGAATGGGAATAGCTACAAACAGGTGAGCTCCTCACATGGCCTTTAATGCCCAGATGCATGAAACAGGGAAAGCACTGAACGTCTGCAGAGAGGGGACTGAGGTTTTCAAGGCTCTCACAGCTACCATTATTGCAAGGGTTAATGCAATAGAGAAGAGGATACAGAGGCTTCTGATGACTTGTCATAAATATATACCTTTGTGGTTATGTAAACAGATAGTATGCAAGTATTATAAAAGCAAGGAACAACTAATTTGCAGACATAAAAAATTCTTTCAGAATCTAGCTGCCAGGAGTATCCCAGGACTGCCTTCTAAGAAGCAGGATGAAAATTGAATTCATGTTGCCATTGGGCCTTTGCAGAGGATGAGGTTAATGGAAGGGGCGACTGAGTTTCTGTCTCCAGGTGAGTGGTGGTAGTGAAATGATGATTTTTTACCTTGCACCCATTTCCTGCAGCAAGGCAGTTCAGCTCAACTCTTCCAGCCGAAGCCAGAATTGTGGCTGGAGAAAAACAGACAAACTTTCAGGGCTTCCTTAATAATAACAAACCTGTTGTTGCAGTCTGAAATTAAAATTAAAAAAACCCACAATGGCAGTGTTGTCGCTTGTGAGGACTCACCTCAGCAGGTTGCTGGGGCAACAGAGGAGGCAGGAGAGATGCACACCCCTCCAGACACAGGACTGTGAGGAAACCTGCCCCTTGCCAGGGCAGGACTGCCTGAGTGTGACTGTTTGTTGCTATGCCAGGACTGGTTTAGATTACACCACTGGGGCAAACAACAAGGGCAAAAACCTGAGGTTAGTTTGGATAAGCACCCAGATTTCAAAACACAGTTTGAGCTGCTTTGACTTCTTCTATCTGCAAAACTCAGGAGGAACCATCATGAGAATGGAGTCTAATGACCTTGCTGGTCATTAGCCATTTCTAGCAGATGCTGGAAAACAACAAACACTCTTTTTTCATATGAAAATATTATGAGAAGTTCTGTTCACATTCAGTTTTGGAAACTACTAGTGGTTTAGAATTCATAATTTTTCCTAAAACTATGATGTATTAAACATTTAATGGAGTTCTTTCAAACTCTAGCTGGGATTTTAAAACACGGTAACTTGACTGCCACCCTAACACAGGCTGAGGAATTTACAACAAAGATGTAGAAAAAAAAGTTTTAACGACCAATTTCAGAGAATGTCCTGAAGGTGTAGCTGTGTTGGCTATATACAGTCCCATACTCTTCTCATTAAATGAAAAGACTGAACTGGAAATTTGACTTTGAACCAATTTATTTTTTCCTGCTAAAACTTGGAGAATTAGTAGTAATATCTATGATGAATATATGTAAAATGTTAGTTTACTGTTAAAGATTGCATAGTTCTATGTCCCTCAGAACAGGTTGTTCCATAATCTCTATATTCTACAATCTCAGCACTAATAAAGCCTGGTGCAAATATTCCTTCTTCAGGCAATTATTAAAACAACTTGTTTGGAATGCATCTGCTGAATTATTGAGCCCTAAATAAATGGACTGGAGCGGTTCCTCCTTTCCTGAAGATCAAATGATGCTCTTGTTGGAAAAGATGATGATATAACAAACTGAATTTGGAACACGAAGCCTGTCATTTTTGCTGATACTTCGTGCTCCTTCTGTTTTTGGTTGTTCCTCCTGCCCTCCATATCCCTGTATTAAGGTATTATGATAATGAGAAATGTGTTTATGACTTGTTTTGAAGTATGTGCACAAGACACAGCTGACCTGTAGAATTCCTTGAGCTAGATATCTTAAATGCCTCTTTACTAACTACAGCAGAAGAGCTCTTTCAGCAGTCACAGAAATGATTGGAATGTGAATTCCTGTTACCTGAATTGTATCAAGTTGTTAAAATTGTGTATCTCAGTAGATTTTAAAAAAACCATAAAATAAGAACAGAGGAAATCTGTAGAGGCAAACAGACCTGGCTTTCCCCAAACTCACAGACGTTCGGCAACCCATCATATAAACTCAACAATACTTGTCATCTTGCAAAAAACCCTAGCAATCCTCTTTTTCTGTGAAATGAAGCAGTAGAATTATACCTCACACGACTTCCAGTCCAAAAGGGGAAACTGTGATTTTCCAAGAGGTGAAATCTGGAGAAAATGAATGTGAAAAAATACTGAAATATCTGCACTTTGTCTATCTATACAACTAATAGAATGTGTAGTATCAGGAATAATGTAAATATTATGGAAGTACCTATGAAACTACTTGGAAACCTACATTAACCTCTCACAGTTAACACACAGTACAAAAAACCTTGCAAAATTGATCAATGCAAAGCAGCAAGTAAGATACAGGTTCATTTGGAATCTGGGAGCATTCACTTAACATCAAATTACAGGTTTGGCATCGAGAGCTTCTTCTCACCATGCTACACTTAACTGCATTTATACCCTACAGTAAAAACAGGATCCCCCAAAATTCCAGAATCAAAAGGACCTGAAGTTATAATATGCACTGTCAGACCAGACAAACACGGAAAGTGTATTTGCTGCCAGTGAGGTCTTCAGTACATCACAATGCTCCTGGCGCTTTTGCTATGTTTTCTACCATACAAAACATAAAAATCCACCTTCTTCTGCTCTATCTAGTGTCAAATATTTGAAAGTTATTGAAAAGTAGCCAATATTCCCTTTCTGTTATCAAGCAGCTATTCAGAAATAAGAGCACCTTGCTTTATGCTGGTATGTGTATTTTTGAGAAACCTGTAGTAGTGCTGAGCTATAGTCACTTTTATTTAAAACTAAATGCATATTTTACTTTTCCAGTCAGAAGATACCTTATGATTTTCACTTCCTTTCATCAGCAACCACAATTTTGATGCAACAGAATACAGAAACTATGTCTTAGCCAATTTGTTTTTCTAAGACACAGCTGTACAGCAGGTAGGTACCTTGATAACAGTTTTGGTGGGCATTGGTTCAGTAATGCTATTTCCACAATTCATTTAAAAAAAAAAAAAAAAGAGAGAAAGAAATAAAGGAAATTGTTCAAGTCAGTGTGGTTTGATTTGAATATTCTGTTGGTCCCATACTGAGCAGGCAGTGCAGATAGCTTAACAACTTGGAGAGTGTGACGACAGAAAGCCTTCGAGACTCCAGACCACCTTGCAAGAAAATGTTACCCAGTGTAAATATGTTTCTTCGTGATTTAGGTTACTTACTTTTAAGGCATCTTGTTTAAATGTTTTTCTCAGAATTTTATCTAGCATGAAACAAACCAACAAACAAGTTTATCAACCTCCCAGAGATTTTTGCAATAGAAAGTTGGGTTTGGAGCATCTTCAGCATGAAGTGAAAAGACAGCTTGCCAACAAAAGCAGAGGGCAGCTTGAAGAAAGACAGGACTTCTGTTTAGACACTCCCCAACATAGGTATATAATGAGGAAAACAAACAATGGAAGAGTCTGGTACTACATTCCAGTATTGGTTTGGTTTCCGTATTGTTTGTTTGTTTTCCCAGTGTGTGAAAGAACCTAACAAAATCTTCTGAGTGCAATTACATTTACAGAGTAAGGCCGTGGTTAGGGTGTGTCTTCATTGTAATTATTGTGTAACATAAATATCCATCCCTGAGAAAGGAGAAGGGGGACACAAATCCAACACAGTTCATTTGTAAGTGTATGTATGCTCATGTTGTGCAATCCCGTCTTATAAAGTACTTTGACACCTGAGGTGAATTAAGTGGGGCTTTTTGCCTTTTTTTTTTTATTTTTTCTCATTTTCTTATAAAGAATAATGAAGAGGATCCATAAATGGTTGCAAAATATATGAAATATTGAGACAGCAGGAGTCACTAAGTGTAACATGTAAGTTTGTCCATCCATGAGGTTAGAATAGCCACTCGTGTGGTCGGGTAAAGCAACTTTGACTAGAAATTGCAGTGGGAGGAAGCTATTTACTGATTTTTTTTAAGAAGGGGGCGTAGGGGAGGGAAACAACAGTTTTCCAAAGGTGTGCAACACAAGCCGAAGTCCCCTGGGCGTCGGAGGCGCGGTGCCGCGGGCAGCGGGGCGGGCTACGGGGAGCTGGCGGGGCTCAGCGTGGGGCTGGAGGCGTCCGAGCGGCTGTGGTCACTGAGGGAGCCGGCCCTGGAGCCGCTGCCCGCCCGGCCCCGCAGCATTCCCGGCTGGAAGTTGGCGTGGCGCCGCGCGTGCTTCGTCAGGTGGTCGCTGCGCATGAAGCGCTTCTCGCACAGGGGGCAGCGGAACCGCTTCTCGCCCGTGTGGGTGCGGTGGTGCCGCGCCAGCTCGTCCGAGCGGGCGAACTTCTTCGTGCAGCCCGGCCAGCTGCACTCGAAGGGCCGCTCACCTGCGGGAGGCACACACGGCACGTTAGAGCACAGCACGGACCCCGCCGGGCTTTGTACGCGCGGGGTAGAACAGAAAGGCTGGGAGCAAGGCAGAGCCGCTACCTGGATGGGGAAGGTGATACCCTCTGCTGCTCTGGTATTCCAGTCCATCAAAAAGTACTGCCAATCCAGCTAGTGATATACCTTATTTGATAACTGCATCTTCAGGGACGCTGGGCTCCTGATCCTTTCATGGATATCACATTTCAAATCTCTTGTGCTCTGTTGGACTTAATTTACTTGATAATACCTGTACTGAGCTTTATAGTATATTCACTTATTCTCCCAAGCTGTCCCTATGTGTCTGACTCAATGCTGAAGTTCAGAAAGTGTGATGAAGTCTCCCTCTTCAGCTCTTTACAAGCAATTTTGGTAAAAATGAACACTGGCAATGTTGAGGCACTGATTTGAGGCTCCCACCTTGTATTCTCCACAGCTATGCCTGTGTTTTCTGCATCTGCTACAAAGCACTGTGGTTTCTCGTGTTCCCTGCCTTATGCCTCCAGAAGGGAGCCAGGGAGCACTGTATTCCAACCAGGCAAATGTGTCACATTGAAGGGATCAGCTTCTGCCAACAGCTCACCTGAACCCCCTGACCTGTGACACTGTCAGACCCATGACCAGTGAGCCCAAAGGAGCAGTGACCTGGTGACCTGATGCGGTTGTGAGCCCTCAGCCATGGAATCACCTCTCACAGGACAGATGCTGTGCAGGAGCTCTGCACGTGGGCACTGCGGGAGATGTGCGGCCTGAGAAGCTCTGCACATTGTTGTTGGGCAGATGGATATCTGGAATGTATTCCCAGCTTCACCACTGATGTGTTGCATAGCCTTGGGCACCTCACATTATCTGTTTCCATTCTTAGCTTCTCCATTTGATAAAAAATGAAAACATTGACTCATGAAATGTGCTACTACTTCTGCATATTGTTTTGGTTCTTACTGTCACTGAGTCTGAACATCTCATATTCCTTATTTGTTACTCATCAAGAACATGTTATTCTTTTGTGAATACACAGAGAATTTTTCATAGTTATAATTTTAATAACTTCCTACTTGCACTAATCCTAATGTTTCTAATTCTGAATAGCCAGTTCAAGAGGCCTAGAGAGCTATATAAATTCTGTGGCAAAATAAGAAAGAAAAGTTCTCCCCACACTACACTAAATGGAAAATAAAGAAAGAAATTAGCCTTCTGGAGAAATTCAATACACCTTAATCAAAACAGAGAGCAAAACTGACCCCAGCAAACCTTCAATCTAAGCAGCCAATACTCTGCTTTAAATTCACACATTTGGCTGTAACGTTTCTCTCCAGGATCTACTTAGGAGTCTCCTGCTCAGAAAAATAGTTTTATAAGTTCCTCTCCTCTCTGTTCATGATGCCTGCAAGATAACTTCAGCCAAATCTCAAAGAGTGTCTCAATGAACAGATAGGCAAGTCTTTTTTTAAATAGGATTTTGTTCAAGAATCTGGAGAAAGCAAGTGTTCCTGATGTTTCATTGATTATTTAGGAGAAAGATCAAGTCTCATTAGACCAGCTGTTCTTAAACACCTTTGGTGGATTTCATTCCCCCTCCAATTACACTGCATAATGCAATGGTGTATCTGTGCAGGACCCAACGAGATCTGCAGATGGAGAACCATGAGCACCACCTCTCTGTAATGTATGGCCAGTCATCGCGCACGAAGATTTGGGAAAGGTCGTTACCCTTCGAGCCTCCACAGTGGATTTTTTAGGTGAGACACAGTGTGCGCTGAGCTGAGCCCACCCTTTAATCCTAAGGTTCATCTGCCGGGGCCGAGGCACCACCTCTAGTGCTCTGCAAAAGGCAGCGAAGACAAACAGAACTGCTTTCAGTTGGCTTCCCCTGAACTAAAGCCTAAGAAACGTAGGGCTCCACAAATGATTTTAAGAATACAACCACAACCAACTGGTTTTGAAGGATATAGTCTTGTTGCTTAAAATAACCTGTGCAAACCCATTCAATGTCCTCCTTAGCCTTCTCCTGCCTGCCAGCTGTTAGGGAGTGGCCTCCCCCTCTGCTGATAGAAATGGAAACAAATATATTTTGGCTGTTTTTCATATATCTTTTCTTAGATATGCTCCTGCCTGTGGTGGGACATGCCAGTCATCCCTGTTGTGAAACCAGATTCACCAGTCTTCTCCCTGTGTTTTGGTCTTACAATAGAGAAAATTCTATGAGGACTTTGGAACCTCTGGGAAGGGCAGTGAGACATGGTCTGAGAGGTGGAGGTGGATCTGGCCTGCAAAACCGGAGTTTCTCATCCCTCAGCTATGCCATCATTTTTTGGTAAGGCACTGGCTTTTGGATGTTTCTATTGCCTGAGTCCATTTTCTCTCTGTTTATTGGTGTTACAAATGGTGTCAGCAAATGGTCTTCCCTTGAAGAACTGTCCCATGAAATGACTGCTTGCAGACAAGAAAGGCAAAAGTTTTCATGCAGTGTTTTGCTTCTGCTGTTGAGAACACCATGAAGCACAAACAAAATGGTACCTTTTTTTTTTAGTAGTTTGCATGGCATCAGCTGCTCTTGTCTATAATTCTATCATTGGGGAGCCAGCAGTAGGGACAACATTCCAGTTCCTCATGAGAGAGAGGTTCTGAAGCAGGATTGTGTAAGACCTGTGTTATCCAGCACTAACAGACAGGTAATGAAGGTATTGCACAACTTCTCTCCACTGCACATCAGATCTGGATGAGAACATTCAGGTTCCTACTCACCCTCTGATTTGATATTAATGATGGTGGTGAGGATTTGGGTGCTGAGCCAAAAAATGTTGTCTGTCTTCCACTACATTTCTACTGTCCTCTGTCCTCCCCCTTCCTAGGGACTGTTTTTCCCCTCAGTCTTCTCTAGTCTTGATTTGACATCTTCTTGGTAGTTGTCTTTAAGTTTCTTGGTCAAGTGGTTTTCTACTAACAGCTGGCATCACTCTAGTAGTGGTGATAGCTCTCTAGAGTGTTTCCCAGCTTTGTTGAGGTTTAGCAATTCCTCTTCAAAGAAAAACTGTATTGTGAGGAAATGCTGGATGCCTTGTGACAAGATATGAGAGTCATTATTGTTCAGAAAAAAATAATATACTGTCTGGAACAAAGTTGCTGTAGGGTATTAATTAAGACAAGACCAAGTTGCTGCTCCAAAACCACACGTGGAAATTCACAGCCTGTCATCGTTCTCATCTCTCAAACAGAAGGGATGTGGTTTTCTGTGCAGGTAAGTTATATAAATGTCCTTTTACCAGCAGTAAAGCAATCAACAGAATGAGAGATTATATGACTTGATTGCCTAATCTCATTAAGGAACAGGCAGCCACAGTAAAACGTTCTTGCATAAGCAGCAGCCCATGGACATGTTGTGCTCAACAAAGAGCTCTCACCATTAAAATGGCTACACAGAACACAATAAGGATTCATTCAGCTCCACTTAGGCAATGCCCAAGTCAGAGTTTTACCTTTGTACCCCGAGTGCAGAATGTGATCTTACAGATTAATGCACAAATGTTATCAAATATCTTAGATGTGGCAGGAAACAATCATGTGAATGTGAATGTTGAGAGTGTTAATGCTGTGACTTGGCAGCAGCAGTATCTTTGTGCATTATGAGCCTTACTAGCAAGTCTCAAAGAGTGGTAAGTCTCCAAAAGATAAAAAAATGAACCAAAAAGCAACTCAGGCTTCTTTACTCTTTGGAGAGGCAAGTGAGAGATGCCTTTAAGGCATTGGAATATTGTAAGGAAGGAATATTGTAAATTATTCTTTCACAATTTTAAATAGGTTTGGATTTCCATGTTCCAAATCCCACTAAACAGTAACCACCTTTCTAGCTCCTCTGCCAGAGCACATGGCACCACATAACTTGTGTTTAGAGCTACACAAGCTGATGGGAAGACATCACATTTGAGAATTGAATTCAGCTGATCTTAACTGAAAATTACACAAGCAAGAACATTTTTGGCTTTTTCCTGAACTCCACCCAGTCCAAAAAAAAAGAAGTGTGTAAAGCTGCATTAAGAAACTTGCAGTGCTCAGTGAGTGAGAGTACGTGAGCTGTGCAGGTGCACTGAGTTCTGAATTCATTCCAGAGGCACAGATCTGGCTGCTCGTGCTGCTCATATTGTCTGGCAGAGCTGACTGCCAAGGGAAACATGGAATTGCCTGAGCTATAGAAACAGAATTTAAAAAAGGCACTTCTCTCCTCTCTTGCTGGAAGGGATTCAGAAGTATCTAGAGCCAGCCTGTCCTTTATAAAGGCCCTTTGTATTATTCTATATTTGTCAATCATTATATATATTGAGGCAACCCTATGTAGATATGGGAAACAAAAACTACAGAGACTGTGGAACCAGATCTGATGTCTACTGAGCTTGACTGGTACTGTACTTTTAGTGCACATGTAGTTTTAAGGACTCCTTTCCTATGTAGTGACACTGCTGTACAAACCTGGAGTGATCTCCTTCTTGCTTCACCAGTTCATCTCTATGATATCCAGCATTTGAGTGTCATTTAAAAACAGATACCAAGTACTGTGTAGGCCTGAGCATACTTTAAAAATAACCTGCTACTGACTGAAATGCCCAAGCAGTTTAAGACAACTGTGACACCAACAATTTTCTGAACTACAATGCAAGGATTAGGCAGTTGTGTCTGAACAGTCTGAAGTGTGATATCTGCTGCCCTACAGATCAGTGTACTAGCAAGTCAAACCACGTACTGGGGGCTACTTTTTCAATTTAACTCATGTAATAACCCTGCACATTATGTTAAGCTCTTCCATCATATGCCAAGGACATGCAATAACAAAGAAATTTGTATACTGGGAATTCCACAAGTGCCTGCAAAACCAGAAACAGTAAGCCAGAAACAATTTTCTGTGATCTTTAATCTGTTCTGCTGCTTCACAGAACAGCATTGTATGTTGTTATAAAAACAGACTAGA